ATACATGGAATACAACGAGATACATTGAATTACAATAAAAAAAGATAATGAATACAATGAAATACATGAAAATACATTGACATATATTAACAGAAAATCATCCTACAACATCCATATCTCAATTTTTTCAATTGGCAGGGACGATATTCACTATTGTTATGACTTGGAGAACATGAGATTTTTGCTTTTCCTGTTGGCTTTTTAGTTGAACGTGACTAGAGATTTGGAAAGCTTCGTTTACGCCAAAGGCAAAATTAGCAACGGACCCACATACTAATCATACATAATTTTTGCGGGCATGGAAATACGCTGCCGCAAGATAACTTCTTGATCCGTAGCAATTCAAGCAGTACCACTTGCCTAGCTATGGCTGCTTCCCCTGTTGACCTAGTCAATTCCGTCCTCAACATCATCGCGAGTGCAACTATACTCTAACAATTCTCCTACTACAATGGAGGATATCGACAGAGGAGAAATCGCAAGTAAACTAGACATAGAAGAGGAAGAGAATCAGAAATTTTAATGAGATGGAGGAAGAGAATGAGATGTATCAAAGTAGAGAGAGAAATAAAATATTGTAACTGATTAACGTATTTAGTGGCTTAGGACTAGGAGGTAATCAAAATTAAATATTTTCCTATAAACCTTAAAATATATCTATAAAATATAATCTTTTTAAATGATATTTATTTAAAATAAATAAGGTGTTAACCTTTGCTATAGGAAGTAAAAATTTCTCTGGCATTTGGGTTCAGGCTTAAACTCTTTACAGTGATAGACCAAAACAAATACCAAACCTTCCAAAATGGCAAATGCTCATCTTTTGTTGTATTTGTCTTTAAATTGTGAAGGTGAGTTCAAAACTTGGGCTAGATTTAAAGGCAGATCATGGTTGAGATTTTCCAAGCAGCAAAATATCCGATTAGACAATATGGGCTATACACATTTCGTAAGAATGGATTGGCCTACGTTTGTCGTAGAAATGACAATCAGGTAGCCAATCTAAAGGGCTGCTATTTAGGAATTAACCAGTGTGTTCTGAGTTTTAGTTTTCAATTCAGTTTTTCAGGACAAAAATATTCTGAGTTGCCCTGAAGTTAAGATTTTTAGTTTAAAATTTCAAGACAAAATAGATATCTGGTTAATCCTCAAAATAGCATCCCTGAGAATGATTATATATGCACTTGCCCCTCGTAGAGGCAACTCAGTTATTTGGATTGGATAATAGGATTATATACTTTCTGCAGAACCTGTTAAATTCGAATATAATCACTTTAAACGAAGACATAGTTTTCGTCCTGAAAATTTTACAATAAACAATGGTATATTAAAAGTGCCCTCGGTATGTCCTCAAAGGGGAACAACTTAGTAGCTAAAATGCACAACTCGAACCATAGTATTAAGTATTATGTGAAATTAAAGCAAAATCTATCCTCAATTTGAGTCATTAAAATGGAAAATTTCGGTTGGTTTAGGCACAATAAATCTCAAGGTACTATTTTGGAGCTTTAGCAAAGGTTGGTATATATATCTTTCTTTACCTAAGGAATGTTAGTATACTGTTGTTTACTCTAAAAATTGAGTAACAATTAAACTTATAATGTAGTTTTAAGGACACGAAATTTTACCTAATACCAATTAATAAACGTTAAAGGGCCAAATATACCTCTCTACTTTCGAAAAAAGGTTTTAATATACCCTTCGTTATATTTTGAGTTCAAAGCCAAATATACCCCTCTACTTACAAAAAAGGTTTTAATATACACTTCGTTATATTTTGAGTCCAAAGCCAAATATACCCCTCTACTTACAAAAAAGGTTTTAATATACACTTCGTTATATTTTGAGTCCAAAGCCAAATATACCCCTCTACTTTCAAAAAAGGTTTTAATATACCCTTCGTTATATTTTGAGTCCAAATATATCTCTGCTTTTGTACTTTGGGCTCAAATATACCCCTCATTTTAACGGAATGACACATGTTATTATCCTGTTGGCCAATTTTAAATATCTCCTAATTAATTAAAAAGACTCATACCTATACCCATACCCATACCCGAAAACAAATTTCAAAAGCTTCTTCAACAATGGTGAGGAGTTCGATGATCGGACGGAAGAGGAGCGGCGATCTCCACCGTCGGATCTCATCGGAGTGCAATAGTATGCATCCTTATGACTTTAGAAGGAGCAGAGGCAATCTTTTATCAACATAAACAAGGGATTGGTGTAAGCGGCTCCTCCTAGTTTCTCAAACATGACCCCGTCCATACGGGCTTGGATTCCATCAGATGATGCGACATCATTTAGCAACTCTTTTAAAGTTCTATCTGCTCCGACTAAAGAGCTCCCTATGCCGCTTAAAACTTCCGGTAAGGATGCGGATGGCCATGACAGCTCAACAACAGAAACCTGCAGTTTTAATAACTTATTAGGAAGACTAAGAAATTCATCTCCATTACATCAAAGTGATAGAGAAAGAGATGAAAGTAGAAACAAAAAGGAGGAAATTAACTCAGGAGATAGTTTATTCTCTTCAAAAAATATTTTTGCTTTTCCAGTCAAAGTTTCTCGCCTCTGACTACATTTTCAGTTACTAATAGTAGAAAGCAGCTTCCAAGCTTTTGTTAGTTGGGCATCAAACATCAAACTCCTCACCGTTGTTGAAGAAGCTTTTGAAATTTGTTTTTCGGGCATGGGTATGGACATGGATATGAGTCTTTTTAATTAATTAGGAGATGTTTAAATTTGGCCTAACACGACAATGACACGTTTCATTTCGTTAAATGAAGGGTATATTTAAGCCCAAAGTATAACATCAGGGGTATATTTGGACTCAAAGTATAATGAATGTTATATTTAAACCTTTTCCGAAAGTAGAGGGATATATTTGGTCCTTAGCCGATAAATGTAGAAATTAACAGTAAGGATTAGCAATGAGATAAAGCAAACCAATCTTGAAACGTGATTCATCCCTCGAGCTCAAGTGCCCTCGAATTGATCGGTGCCCAGAATAGTTAAGAAGCAAACTGATGAACAAGAATATAACCTAGAAAGTATTGTATTGCTTTGATATGCTTGAATGTAAGATGGTTACAAGATGATTAGGACCCTATTTATATAGTATATGAATCCTATTTATGGTACAATTCTAATTACGGAAGTAAATCCCATGATTAACTAAATAATTGCCTTGATTTGATATGTTCCAAGATTTACGCCTTGATCTTCGGCCAGTCACAGATATCTCGCCTTTCCGTTATTGTGCTTTGCTCGATGTCTATCTTTTTTGGTCTCGATCGCTACTGTCCTCGATCTTCGATAAGTGCCTCGGTCCTCGAACTTGGTGCCTTATCCTCGTACCTCGGTCTGGTCTAATGCGAGGCCGACCTTCGACGCAATTCCCTAGCCTCGATCAAATAGCAAAATCGGGTAGGCCCGGTTTTAATAGTATACAGATAGTCCTCTCGTTTCTTGGAGTGTAATGAGAAGAAAAGAATTGAGCCTTCGATTTTGTACCTCGACCTGTCATGATGTCATCTTCATGACGTAAGCGATGGAAGTGACTGAAATATCCCATCGGTTCGCATATCGAGGTATTCAATGCCTGTCAGTTGTTGTCCGCCATTATTGATTTTGAACCGTCACCTTCTTCCTATAAATGTGCTTTCCTTCTCTTTTGCCCAAACTTTACTCTTAATCTCCGCCCTAATCTTCAAAGCTTTTCACTTCCTTCAAGCTTTTCACTTCCTTCAAGCTTTTTCGTGCTGCATAATCTCTAGGTTTCGTTATCAACCTTCCCTCAAAACACCAAACCTCATTCCTTTCTTCATTCTTTNTCTTACTTCCGACTTCAAAGTCGAGAAAACTTCTTCTGTCCCTGGCCGGTGCGAGCCGATGTCGTGAAACATGTGCTCGATAACTGAGAGTGACCTTGAGCAGGTAAAGAAAGACTGTCATTGGGAGAAGAAAAAGGTGGTGATTCCGACTCCCTAGGAAGATATCACTACCCATGTGAAAGGGTTTCTAAGTGTTTATACTTGCCCTTTCATGCTGGGCTCTGTCGATCACGACATCATCGACTTCTGCCGCCAATACCAAATAACCCTAGGTCAGATCCACCCTTCCTTTTGGTGGATTGTCATTTTGTTCCAATTTTTCGCAAGCAAAGCCAAAGGGACCTCTTTCACCATCGACCACCTCATCAGGCTGTATAGGCCCCGTCTTTTTTGAGGTGGGTTAATAAAGCTTCAGTGTCAGGCCACCAAGGTACTGTTCTCGAGCATAGACGAGGACAAGGATTGAGGGTAGATGGGTCATTTCGTTTGAATGAAGACTTCCGACTTAATTCCGACCGAGAAGATGCCATTTCCCGAGAAGTGGAATATGAAGCATAAGTTCAATCCTTCCTTTAGCTTCTATTTATTGTTTTGTTTCCTTTACTCTTCCTCATCAACATCCTTTTCTATGATGTAGCGGTCGCTTGGATGCCTGGTGTGATTTCGAACCTCGAAAGCTGGGTTCGGACCCTAGCTTCGTCCTCCTCGTACACTGAGCGCTCATGGCACAATTTAGCAAGGGGCCGATGGGAGGCCAAAAATCACGATAAGCCTTATATCTGATAGCTTTCGTTAAAGTGTTTCCCTCTTATACTCACTTGATTTCCTTTCATACAGGCCTAAATAAAGATGCCGTCATGAGGCCCCCGTATGGGGATGAGGAGGTTTCGCCTTTGGTCCCAAAGCAGTCGAAGGAAAATAAAATAAAAAGGGTCTTGCCCTCAGATACTCCAAAGCCCAAGAAGAGCAAGGCTTGCAGGTCGAAGAAAGACATCGCCGTCTTGCCTGCTAATGTAGCTTAGCGACTAAGGGAGGAAGAAGAGGAAAATAAAGATGCTGGCTTCGAGCTAGTAGCCCGAACAAAGTGGAGGGCCGAGGCCCCAAAGGTTGTTGAGTCGGTGATGATCGAAGAGGTTCAGCTTCGGACCAAGGATATCTCAAAATATGGCCCGAGCAAAGTCCCTGAGTGGTCGGAGGCTGAAGATGCCTCCCACCGTGATGAGCAATCGGCGGATGTGCCTGAAGGGGCCGATTCCGAGGACCTTTGAAACGAAGAGAATGCCCCAAGTGACTTGCTTGGGGAAATAGATATTGGCGATTCACCGTCCCTCCCCACATTTTCCGAGGGACAAATTCAGGTTTCCCAGTCCGTGGAGACCCCCGATGTGGGAACGTCCCACAAAAGGGAGGACCTTTTATGTGGTTGCTTCACGAGAGTCAAAGATGCTACCCACCTAGGTGATGCATCAAGTCTCTTCGATGAGGCTCAACGACTTCTGAGCCGGGTAAGCCTCAGCTCCCTTCATCAATATTACACTTGCATTTATTTCTTCTTGCCTGATTTCTTTTCTTTCTTCATAGGCCTTGACATTTCATCGGGAAGCATTTTCTAAATCCGGGCAGAGCTAAGCCAGTGCGAAAGATCACGGAGGAGATAAATGCCCTCAAACTTCTCAGTGGACAAAAAGAAGGGGAGATCAAGGACCTCCAAGCCGAATTGGCCACAGCTTATAAAGAGCAGACTGACCTGATTGAGCAGGTAATGAAATTTTTTTAGAAGCTCGATTTATCAATTAGGGAACGACGACTAATACTTTAATCCTGCAGGTTCAGCAGAAGGCCGAAAAGATCGACCAGCTTTGTGAGGAGGACAACATGATGAAGGCAGAGACTTTGGGGTGGAAGCAAAACATAGACCGCCTTGCCTCGAAGAAAGATACTGCTCGAGCCCAACTATCATCGATCGGACATCAACTTCAAAGCATGAAAGAGGAAAGCTTGGCCCAAGCCCAGAAAATTGAGGAGCTCGAGGCTCGATTGGCCGCCGAACTTGCAAAGGCCACATTTGAGATGAAAAAACTAAAGGCTGACATGGAGGTGATCGTGGCCGTCTACCGAGCTGATGCCGAAGCTGCTCATGCTTGAGCAAAGGAAGATGCTGATATGGCTCAGACTCGATCATACTAGGTTGCCGAGCATTCCAAGTACCATTCTCGAAGAGAGAATCTTGAGGAGATTCATGCTCGCGGCTTTAACCTTGCTGTCGATATCGAGAATGCGAAAGTACTCAAGGCCGAAGCCAAAGCATTGGTCTCTTTCGATGATGATGATTCTGGGAGCACGAGTGGACCCGAGAGTGTAGGGGATTCTGATGACGAAGACGCAGCTCCCAAAGAAAATTAGGCACTTGGGATTTTTCCTTTTTATTTTTATTTTTTTTGTGTAGGATCCTGATCGATCCATGTAAATATCTTCACTCTCACACACACACATATATATAACATTTCCTTTCTTATCTCGACTTTTGCCTTGTGAAAATTCCGATTTTCTTTTCGCCTTATGAATATTTTGATACACTTTATACCTTGCGAGACTTCTGACTCACTTCGTGCCATGCGAAAATTTTGTTTGTGAATCCGAATCTTAGGAAACTTGATCGAAGTCAGACTAATATTGTCTCTTTAATCGAGTGAGTACTTGCTCGAACTCGAAGTAGAAAAACTCTTAGGTTTTTGTTGAGTGAGGATGGATTCTCGAACTCAAAAAAATATAATGGCCCTTAGGCTCTTGAATTGGGCCGATATGGCCTTAAAAGAGTGGCTTTTTTCCCTTTTTCAGCTTAAAAAGTTTAATCACCTAAAAGTTTATCATGCCTTAGCAAGAATTAAGTCTGCACCCATTAGGTTTTTTCGGGGTTTAGTGTTATCAAAACACTTTGGTTGTTTTGCCGAGTGTAGCCTTTTAACCTGTTTATAAAAGTATTCGAAGGCCTGTTTTCATTACGGAATTCAGACGTCTCCGAACCATGTTAGTTTGACCGTAGCCTTAAAATTTGCCTCTTGGGCTTATTTTCCTAATTACACTTCGAACTTGTTCGAAGTGTCAGTCCCCGAGTGGGGAGGCCTTGGCCTAAAAAATCGAGGATTGCCTTTTTAATGTCTTATGGTCTCGAAGTTTAATAATTCGAGCATGTCGATTTTTGGATGGCAGTCCCCAAGTACTGGGTTGATTACTCGAGATTTAGTTGCGATAGGCACTTGAGCCAGTTTCCGCAATAGATCACAAGGATGAAATTGTAAAGTAGAAATTTCACTAAGGCATGGAACATCTAGTAAAGAAAAAATACTTCTTTCAATAGATCATTCATGGGCACATGTTTTGCCATTAGGGATCGAGTAATCTACATGGACACGGTTCATTTGACCGTTTGGCCCTTTACAAAATTTACCTATCGAGCCCCTGTTGACACGAAGTATTTTCCTTGTAAACATAACATCCGGGGGTGATGCCCCCTAGTATTCGAGGTTGATTGTAAAGAAGCCTCGAATACTATTGAATTGCTCTAAGTTAGCACGAGCGATGGTTGCCTTGTTAAAAACCTTGCTGGAAAAACCCATTTGGGATAAAAACCGATCGAAAGGAAAAAGAGTGCAACATGTGCTTTCAGACCTAAGGACTTTGTGTTTGGAGAGAACCTCTATGCCTTCAATCGAACACCTACAACAAGTTAGTATAAAACATAAATGAAAAAGGAGAAGGTCATACCTTAGCGATAGTATCGTTTGAGGAATGATATGTTCCAATTATTTGGCAACTGTTCACCGTTCATCATGCCAAGTTTGTAAGATCTCTTTCCGATAATACCGAGGACCTGATACGGTCCTTCCCAATTTGGGCCGAGTTTTGCTTCGTTTGGGTCTCGAGTATTGAGGGTGACTTTTCTCAGAACTAAGTCCCCAACTCGAAAGTGGCGAAGATTGGCTCTTCGGTTATAGTACTTTTCGATAAGCTGCTTTTGAGCGGCCATTCGGATGAGGGCAGCTTCCCGTTTTTCATCTAGCAATTTGAGGCTTGTATTCATAGCCTCGTGATTTGACTCTTCCATTGTGTATCAAAACCTGACGCTAGGTTACCCGACCTCGATCGGGATCAGAACTTCGGCATCATATACTAAGGAGAACGGTATTGCACCCCCTTTACTGGATTTTGATGTTGTTTGATACATCCATAGGACTTCGGGCAAAATTTGTCTCCATGTTCCCTTAGCATCGTTCAATCTTTTCTTTAGATTTTGAATGATGGTCTTGTTTGTCGATTCGGCATGTCCGTTCCCACTTGGATGATACAGCATCGACAAGATCTTTTTTATTTTGTGATCTTCGAGGAACTTTGTTATTTTGCTGCTGATGAATTGTTTTCCATTGTCGCATATTATCTCGGCGGGTATCCCGAATTGGCATATGCTGTGATCCGATATGAAGTCTATAACTTCTTTTTCTATGACTTTCTCAAAAGTATGTGCTTCAACCCACTTAGAGAAATAGTCAGTCATAAATTAAATAAATTTAGCTTTACCTGGGGCCGATGGTAGAGGACCGATGATATCCATTCCCTATTTCATGAACGACCATGGGAATAGGACTGAATGAAGTTGCTCTCCGGGCTGGTGGATCATCAGTGCATATCTTTGACACTTGTCGCATTTTTGAACGAATTCCTTAGTATCTTTTTCCATATTGGCCCAATAGTATCTCGCTCTGATGACTTTGTGAACCAGTGATTCAGCACCGGAATGGTTCCCGCAAGTACCCTCATGAATTTCTCGTAGGATGTAGTCGATGTCTCCCAGATTTAAACATATTGCCAATGGTCCGTCGAACATTCTTCTGTATAATGTTCCATCTTCAACTAATGTGAATCGTGTAGCCTTTGTTCGCAGAGTCCTCGATTCTTTAGGGTCCGATGGAAGCTTCCCATTTTTTAGATACTCGATATATTTATTCCTCCAATCTCAAGTTAGGCTTGTGGAATTTATTTTGGCATGGCCTTCCTCAATTACTGACCACGAAAGTTGTACGACAGTCCCCGAGCTAATTTCGTCGTCTTCGTCTGATGACCCCAAATTTGCAAGGGCATCGGCCTCGCTGTTCTATTCTCGAGGTACATGTTGTAGGGTCCATTCTTTAAACTGGGGTAGGGTTACCTGCAATTTTTCCAAGTACCTCTACATTCGATCATCTCGAACCTCGAAGGTCCTTTTGACTTGGTTAACCACAAGTAGGGAGTCACATTTGGCCTCGATGACTTCTGCTCCCAAGCTTTTAGCCAGCTTGAGACCAACAATCATGGCCTCATACTCGGCCTCATTGTTAGTCAACTTAGGGATTTTGATAGATTGTCTAATTGTATTGCCTGTGGGCGGCTTCAAAACGACGCCTAGCCCGGACCCCTTCACATTCAAAGCGCCATCTGTGAAAAGGATCTACACCCCCGAAGATATACCCATTTTTAACAAATGTTCTTTTCGACCTCGGGTATGAGGGCTGGTATGAAATGAGCCACAAAGTCTGCTAAGATTTAAGACTTGATGGCCGCTCGAGGTTGATACTCGATATCACACCCACTGATTTCGATGGCCCATTTAGCCAATCGGTCCGAGAGTTCGGGCTTGTGCAGAACATTACGAAGAGGATAAATGGTCACCACACAAATTGGGTGGCACTGAAAATATGGTTTTAATTTTCTAGAGGCACTTATTAGAGCAAGCGCTAATTTTTCTAAGTGTGGGTACCGGGTCTCAGCTTCACCTAAAGTTTAACTAACATAGTAAACAGGAAATAGCGTACCTTGCTCTTCTCGAACTAGAACACCACTTACCGCAACTTCTGCGACTGCTAAATATAAGTAGAGTTGCTCGTCCGCTTTTGGAGTATGAAGCAATGATGGGCTCGAAAGATATCGCTTTAACTCTTCCAACGCCTGTTGGCATTCCGGGGTTCAAGCGAAATTGTTCTTCTTTTTGAGCAGTGAGTAGAACCTGTGACTTCGATGTGAAGACCTCGAGATAAACCGACCTAAGGTGGCTATCTGCCCTATTAATCTTTATAGGACCTTAATGTTGTCCATGACCGTGATGTCTTCGATTGCCTTGATTTTTTCGGGGTTGATCTCGATCCCCCAATTTGACACCATAAAGCCGAGGAACTTTCCCGAACCGACCTCGAATGCACATTTCTCAAGATTGAGCTTCAAGTTGTATTTTCTAAATATGTTGCAAGTTTCCTGCAAATGTGTTAAATGGTCCTCTCTGCGCAGGGATTTAACTGGCATATCGTCAATATATACCTCAATTGATTTACCTATTTGTTCTTCAAACATTTGATTCACTAGGAGTTGGTAAGTAGCATGATGTTTTATACTTCAATACCACACAAGAGGGGAGGGGGGGTGATTTGTGTAGTGACCAATTTTTCGCTTAAACTGATTATGGAAGGACCTGGTTCTTCTACGTGTTTCTTCTGTTACTGTTGCGAAATAATAACTGTAGAAAGTAAATAACACAAGTATTTTTACGTGGAAAACACTCGGCTCAAAAGCTGAAAAAACCACGACTTACTACTCAATAAGATTTTCCCCAACACTTCACTAAATCACTAAGCCAAAACAGCATTTACAAAACTCTTTGTAAACCTAAGGATTACCTCTAATCCCGTCGTAGCAACCAGCCTCTAACTGTTGCGACAACTTCAAGTTAACTCTAACTTGAATACTCAAAGTACCTATTACAATTGCTTCTAGATAAAGCTGAAAAGCACAATATGAAAAAACCTATTACAATTGAACTAGAAATAAAGAAAGACACATAAAACTCTTTGTGGAGCTAGTTCTTCAATCTGGTTTATGTAGCTTCAGGTTTGCACACTTGAATCACACACGAACTACTTGCAAAAAGCCTTGCTATTTTGCTCTCAATTAACATTTAACTTCTGTGTTTTTGTGCAACACTGTAATGTGAGAACATCCTGCAATTTATAAAGTTAGTAGAAGAAGAAATAACTAGAGTTCTGATGCAACTCTTCCTTGGTGGAAGAGTTCTAGTTGATTTCAACTTCTATCTCCTTCCTTATCTTGGATAGTGTTCTCTTTGATTAAGGACTACTTCTCCTTATCAATTATGCAACCTTTTCAATCAGGAGATATTAAATACACTAAGTTAAGCTTATCTCCTTCACGTACATCCCACATGCTTGAATCTGCCCGTTTTTATGAACCCGAGGGATGGACCACTAGGATGGACCTGGGTCATACCTGAGTTCCTTTGTCATTCTTCAAAACTAACCTTTACTTGGGCCAATAAATTCCCCCTTTTTGATGATGACAAACTCTATGCTTTTCATACACTT